TGTAAAATGGGGACATTGAACCCAAATGATTTATAATACACTTTCTGGATTTAAAGTTCAATCATTCTATTCTATGGAGATAGTTCATGGCAAAAGGAAAACTAATCATAAGAGCAGCAGTTCTCCAAATGGGTTGATCCCTCAAGTCCGCTTTCCATGCCTCCTCTTTCACTCTGCAGGTATCCACGGAGCTTCAGAGCAAAGTTTGGATTTTACATGTTATTTTAAACACTAGAAGTAAATAAAAGGAGTGTAGACTAGAAAGGTGAAAGGGAGAGATCTAAGACTTTTTCTATTGTCTGTTCAAGAAACAATCAAGATATAGGTCATTGGAAGGTCAAAGGAGAGACTCTTGCTGGACCTCAGTAGTCTGCAGTTGACTGCCAATGAAAGGCTCCATCAGAGGAGTGACAGACAGAGATGGTCCAAGAAAAGTACAGTCAGAGAAGGAGGGGAACTGCCATGGAGAGACGGAGGGATGACCCATGGGCAACCCACGTGCCTCACAAGGTCAGGGCTAAGACAAAGTCCCAGCACACTGGGTGTTCCCCCATAGAAGTCTTATGGAGACATTGGCAAGAGTTATACCAATGAATGATGGTGGGTGGATTGAGGTGGCACCATTGGAGAGAGAGTATCTACTTTAATAATAATAATAACAATAATAATAATGATAGATAAATTTATATAGCATTTGAAGGTTTACAAAGTGCTTTGCAAATACCTCATTTGATCCTCACAACAATCCTGGGAGGAAGGTGACATTATCACCCACACTTTACAGTTAAGGCAGAGTCATACAGCTCATAAGTATCTGAAGTTGGAGTTGAACTCAGGTCTTCCGGATTCTAGGTCCAGTGCTCTATCCACTGTGTACCTAGCTACCTCAGTTTAATGAGACTATAGAGTCACCGAAGCATTTTACAAGATGCTGGATCAAATCTCCACACATTTTGGCTCTTCTTTTATGTTCAGTTTTCAAGTATATATTGAAAAAGTCCAAAATGTGGCATCATGCTCGACACTCATGCAGTGGCTTTTGTTTTCTTTCCTGATTTTTCCCCACTCCATGCAATTTCCCAAGATGGCATCTGATTTTGGCTCCCCCTGAGCTGGCTTGATACTTTTCCATTATCAATTGATGAGATTTTAAGGCATAATCAAACAGTGGAGAGAGGTGAAAGAAAAGAGCAAAAGGCCTGATGTTGACTAGAATCATCTCTGAATTCTGATGACACCCATCTAAGAGATAGGTTGGGCGACGGTTAGATTTTCATTCATGCTTTGTCAGCACCCATTACCCCAGGGCACCTGTTTCCATTAGACCAAAGCCTTCATCTGGGAGATGGCAAAATTGAAGCAAAGTGATTAGATGGGAATATTCTTCCAGGATTAATGTCAGAGATTCTGAAAATAAATGTAAAAGCAAAGCCAGGACCTCGATGAAGCAGCAGGAAGGAGATCACTGTCCTCTGCTGGTGGGCTTGTCCACTGACATCTCCTAATTATGCCTAGCTCTTAAGCAATACTATCAATACCCTCTTGGTAATATGCAATTGCAGTTCCACTACGCGTACACATGAATAAGCTTCAAAGTCCACTTTTATGCTGATGGGCTGAGTTTATTTGTAGACATCATTACATGAAGAGAGTTCCTTATGACCGTGTGTAGCACAGGAAAAATCAAAGATTCCTATTTCTCACATCCTTGTGACCATATTCATGAGTGTATATTTCTAAATATAGAAAGCTTCTCACTTAACCCCAATTGCCTTAAAAAAAAAAAATATAGAAAGCTTTGCTTCTTTCGTATTTTATTTTCAAGATCTATCAATGCCTTCTTTTGAAATAGTATAACAATTTCCTGGAAACCCTTCCCCTGCCCCCCACCCCCACACCTGACCACTGAATCCTACCTTGTAACAAAGAAAACTAGCTTAGCAAAAGGGACACTCATCAAACCACTGCCTCTGACAAAGTCTGCAACACTCTACTCCCGCAATCCCTCACGTAGAGGAAGGTATATTTATCATTAACTCACATTTTCTACATAGACATTCACGTAAAAAGAAAAGCCAATGGCTCAAGGGGTTGAGCTATATTGGGGAAAGAGGAGAATCCAGGAAGGGCATTAGAACCAGTGCTCCCAAAACAGGCACTCACTCTCATGATCCAGAGGCGCTTAGGAGCTTCCATTTGTAGCAATCCCGGTGAGCGGCATCTCGGTTTGCATTGTCACAATTCCTGAGGGGTTTCCTCCTCCATCTGCTTTCTTTACTCAGCATCAGTCCTTTAGAATCTTCCTGGGCTTCCCTGAATTCCTCACACTCGCTGTTACTTATGCTACAATAAGATTCCTTTACTAGTATATGCCACAATTTGCCACTTCTTGGGTGATGGCCAAGTTGTCTTTTTTTCCTACTACAAGAAGTGAAAGCTTCAATTATTAAGAAACAAGATAACCTTGTGAGTCTCAAGCAACTGCATCTGCTTCATGGGACTTCAAAGTCAAGAGGCCATTTCTTGAAGGTCATTGGAAGGAACCTCTGCAGTCATTTGGTCCAATTCATACTTGAAAGAGTCCCTTCTACCACGTGGTCATGAGTGGTTTCCCAGGGTTGGACCAAAGAGATCCTGGGAGCAGAAACTCAGTAGCACTTGAGGTGGCCCATTCCACCTTGGGACTGCTCAACTCCTTAAGAAAGTTTTCTTGGCCTCAAACCTAAGGCTGCCTCTTGGCACTTTGTCCCCATTATTCCAAGTTCTACACCCGGGTCAACCAGAGCCCAGCTGATGCCTCTTTGGAAGCAGCCCTTGAAATACTCTAGGGCAAGTGCGGCCATCTGTCCGTCTTGTGTCTTCTCTTCCTCCCCATTTCCATTAACAGAGCATCTGGGCATGAGCCTAAGGCCCTTCACCATCTTGGCTGCATTTCTCTGGATGCTCCCACACTCACTGATATCCTGAAGGTGTGAGCTCTCAAACAGAGCTTCTCTGTCCACCCATCTCAAAAGACAATGCACTGAACCTCCAGTCTTTCCAAAGCCCAGGTATCTTTCAGAGGAATGACTGCTTAGCCACGCCTCCCCCATCTTTGGAGCACAGTTGTAGATTTCAGGCTGGGAGGGACCTGAGAGGTAACCTAACCCCCCCATCTGACAGCCGAAGAAAGTCAAACCTGGACAGCTTGTGACCTGTCCAAGGTCACACAGATAAGAGCAGCCCTGAGCTGGGTTCTTGCACAGTGAGCTCAGGTGTGAGGCTTTGCATTTATCCCTATGAAATTTAATTTTAATAGGTTCAGCCCAGTCTTCTAACCTGTCAAGATCTTTCTGAATCCTGAATCTGTCACCTGGCATTTTAGCCATTCCTCCCAACTTTGGACAAACTGCAGATTTGACAAGCTTGTCATCTAAGCCTTGATCCAAGCTATTGATAAAAATGTTAAACAGCCCAGGGCTATGCACAGATAGATCCCTGGGGCCCCCCACTGGAGACCTCCTTCACAGCAGACACCAAACCATTCCCTTGGGGTCAGCCATTCGGAGTCCTGAAGCCATTTCATCTTACTATGATGTGGCCCACATCTCTCCATCTTTTCCACAATAAGAACATGAGAGACTTTATAAAACAAATTGGAGAGCGCCTACCTGGGACAACTGCATCTTCTGCACTCCCCTGGTCTTCAGTTCAGTAACATCGCCAGAGAAGGAACAGGGCTAATCTGCCATGACCCATTCTTGGAAAGCCCAACAAGCCTTGGTGATCATCACTGTTCCATATGTTCCTCAGCCATCTCTTTGTGAATGTGTCCCATTCTAGTCCATGGGCGTGGTGCTCATCCATTCCATTCTCTTCCGGCTTTGGACAATTGAGGGAGCATTTGACCACCACAGACCACAGGCCCCCTCCGCGCTCAATCTCTCCATGGTCACTGATGGCGGCTCCACGATCCCCTCAGGCAATTCTCTCTGCCCCTGAGGATCTAGCACATTTGGGCCACATCACATAAGCGCTCCCTTCCCACCCTGCTACGTCTCTCTGGGATCAGCTGCCTATTAGCTACTTGTGTTCTGCTGTTTCCAATTCGAAAGTCATTCTCCTTGACAGAAGAAATATGTCAGTGTGGCCTGCTCACAGCTATCTGTTATTATCACCCCATCTGTCTCAGCTGCGGTCTTGTCCCCCTTCTTTGATCTTCCTCTTTTCCCTCGTCGTTCAGCCATTCTTTAGTGGTGTCCAACTCTTTGTGACTCCATTTTGGGGTGCGGGGTTCTTGGCAAAGATACTGGGGTGGTTTGCTATTTCCTTCTTCAGCTCATTTTATAGATGAGGAAACTGAGGCAAACAGGATGAAGTGACTTGCCCAGGGTCACACAGCTAGTGTTTGTCTGAGGCCAAATTTGAACTCAAAAAGAAGAGTCTTCCTGACTCTAGGCCTGGCACTTTATGCACTGTGTTATGTAGCTGCCCTTTCTTCTTTTTCCCAATTAGAGCTTTTAATGCCCTGGCTTTTATTTTTATATAACTTTGCCCCAGGGTTGGGGCATAATAGCCAGAGAGAGCCTGATGCCCTCACATGGGGTCTGTTTCCCTTGGGAGTCCAAAACAGGAGCCTCAGGGACAGCTAGGTGGCGCAGTGGATAGAGCTGTGGCCTTGGAGTCAGGAGGACCTGAGTTCAAATCCAGCCTCAGACATGTAACACTTACCAGCTGTGTGACTCTGGGCAAGTCATTTAACCTCTACTGCCTCACCACCGCCACCAACAACACCAGGAGCCTCTTGTGGGATAGAGGGCCCCTGGGCCCTAACATCTAGAGCCAATTCTCTAGCCAGTAAAAGTATGAGTAAAAAACAAAAAAGGCCCATCTCCATAGTCTTAACTCTAACCTTGGAAAAGATTTGGGAGAGACCTCACAAACTCTCAGCTCGTGATAACATGTGGCATCCAGTGAATAATATGGGGCCTGGACCATTTGTGTTTTCTTGTGAATTTCAGAGAGGCAGAAGGCTGGCCTTGAATCTGACAGACCTGGGCTCCAGTCTCACCTCTAACCCGTATATACTGACTGTGTGACCTTGGACAAGTCACTTAGCAGGTACTGTGCTCTGGGAAGTTATTTGAAGCTGACCTATAGATAGAGTTCTGACTGGCATTGGCAGAGAGTTTCCCCACCTGGGAGTTCTCTATCAGTGAAAATCCAGGCCCAGTCCCTATTCATAGCATCCACCTCACCCCATCTTCCTCCTCTGAGCCGCTTTGGCTCCAGCTGTCCTTGCCTCTTTCTAGTCTCAGAGCCCAGGCAGCCTCTGCCTTGCTGATGCTCAGCAGACTGCCCCTTTCACCCTCCATCTCATCCTCTCCTATCTCACAGAACCTCAGAGCTGGAAGGGGCCTTCTGACCATTTCCCCAGAACCTCTAACTTCTGACCATTTTTCTAGAGCTTCTTTCTGGCTTCTGACCATCTTTCTAGAACGTCTTTCTAATTTCCTTAAGGGGTAGGGGTTGTCACTGCTGGGGTGGGGGTGGGGAGGGACGTTAATCAGCCCACAATGAGACCAGACTGACCCTTCTAGAACATGGATAAAAAAGGTTCCCTTATTAAAACTCCAAAGCCTTTTCTCATTCCCCCATCACAAAAGGATAAAATTGCCCTGTAACCTTGCTCTGCACATTGTTTCAGAGGGCAGTGAGCTCTTAATAATGGGGAACTGAAAAAGTATCACCTGAGCTTGGCTTCCACATGGAAGCTGTGTCATTAGAAAGGGCACCGGAGACACCGAAATGGGCACAGTGGAATTCCTGGATGAAGAATGGAGGCGGGCCTTTGAAGTGGCAGCTTTCCTCAAGTCTTTGAACGTAAGCCTCCAATGTCAGTCAATGCAGTTCAGCCAAAGTTTGAGGCATCTCCTGTATTCAAGGTGCTTGGCAAGCAGGGCTTGCCCTGAGACTCTTCCCTCTCTGTTCTTCAAGATCTCTTTCTCTGTCGCCTCCCTCTCTAGGGTCTAGAGATACCCCCTCCTCAGACGGTCTTAGCATTCCTCAACTGGCTCTCTCCTTTACCAGCCCTTTCCCCCTGGCAACACCCTCCCCCTACACTTGTTCTTATCTATGCCAGTCTTCCCTCCCTTGAGGGCAGGGCTCTTGTATCCCCAGGGCCCCGCACACAGTAATAAACACAGCGAACAATTATGTGACAATTATGTGACACGGTTTACAAAGTGTTTGCACATGCTCTCTCATTTCATCCTTACATCAATCCTGGGAGCCAGGTGCAATCATTATCCTCATTTTACAGCTGAGGAAACTGTGGCAGAGGGTAGTTCAGTGGCCAGGGTCACACCACCAGTAAACATCTGAAGATATGAACTCAGATTTCCCTGTGTCTAAAGTCTACCTACAGCTACTCCTCACAGGTACTTAATAAATGCTGCCTGCTAAGCTTGGGGCCCCAGGCACAAGCCTTGGATAACCACTGGGGGATCTGCCACTGGCAGGGAAGAAGACAAAGGACAAGTATTTCTGCTTCCCCATTTCACTAAGAGTTGGCCTGAGAACCATCTGCCTCAAGAGGAAGGGCTTCCTCGGAAACACCCATTTCTGCTGGTCCCCAGCAGCTCAGCCTCTTCTTCTGACACAGGGAGAGTGACTTTAGTAGGTGCTTCTGGGCTGGACTCCCGGTGGGGCATCTCTGGTCCAATCAGTACAAAGTAGAAAGCTTCTCTTGGCTCCTTCAACAATAGAAAAACTCAGTGGGAAACTTTCCCTATTCTGGAACTGAAACAGGCATATTAAAACCAAATGCAGAGCAACTGGGACCTGAGGCTTAGGCCGGCGTTTGGCTTTGGAGGAAGGACTCGTCCAGGTGAACAGGAGTTCTTAGGGATGAGGATCACCCCCATCATCCCAAATGAGGCTTCTACTATACTTGTGTTATCCCCCTTCTGCAGATGAGGAAACAGGCTTAGACTGCTTAAAATACTTGCCCCTGGTGCTCAACCAGTAACTGTTCGAGGTGGGATTTGAACCCAGTTCTTCCTGACCCCAAGTGTCTAAGAACAGAATTCTCTCATACCCTGAAATTGGATGAACTACACACAACGTTCAAAGAGCCAGGGTGCTCTACCATGTGGGGGTGTGTGTGTGTGTGGGGGGGGTGTGTGTGTCTAATAAACTGAAGATGATCTCACTGGCAAGCATTAGCACTGAGGTGGACCAGGAAAGGTTTCTTACAAAAAGGACTTGAAGGAAGAGACACAGAGAGAGTGCATTCCAGACGTGTGAGCCAGCCAGAGCCAGGAGACTGTGTGTCCTGTGGGAAGAATAGTAAAGAGGCTGATGGCCCTGGATCACTCAGTATAAAGTAGGAGAAGCCTGGAAAAGCGGGGCGGAGGGTTAAATAGCTTTGAACACCAACCAGAGCATTTTTCTGTTGGATGCTGGAGGTGATAGGAAGATGCTGTAGGTGACTGACTAGGAAGGGCTATGAGGTCACACCTGTACTGTAGGAAGATCACTTTGACAGCTGAGTACAGGATGGACTGGAGTGGGGAGGGGCTTGAGGGAAGGAAACCCCCAGCAACGGTGATGAGGGCCTGTATCAGCTGGTGGCAGTGTCAGAGGCAAGGAGGGGACATGGAGGACAGGTGGACTTGGAAAACTGGAATATGTAGGGAGAGGCAGAAGGTGGGGAGGGGGAGTTTGAGGTCACCAAAGTTGAGAGCCTGAGAAGCCAGAGTGTTTTAGGGTGAAATGAAGAGTAAAATGCCTACAAAGGGAGGCTGGGGGAGGGGAGAGGGCGAGGGAGAAAGAAAGACAGAATGGAGTCAATCCATGAGGCCTTCAAATACCAATTTACATCTTATTCTAGAGGCAATGATGAGCCACTTAGCCGTCCTAAGCAAGGAGGGACGTATTTAGACCTGTGCCTTGGGGATCTCAGTTTGAAAGCTGTGTGGACAGATGGGAAAAAGAAGCCTCTGGATTCAGGCAATGAAATTAGGAAATGATTACAATAGTCCAAGGCAGAGATGGTGAGAGACTGGCCCAGGGGGCTTAGGGGGTGAAGAGAGAGAAGGATACGATTGAAAGGATACCAAGGAAATGAAATCCACAGACTGACAAGATCAAAGGGGTGGGGAGGGGGGATGAAGAAGAGCAGGGCAAACCTGAGTGACTGGCAGAGTTGTAGCTCCGTGCAGACTAATAAGGAAGGAAGGAGGAAGAGCAGGTTTGAGAGGAAAGAAAACCAGTTCTGTTTCGGCCGTGTTGAGTTTGAGTTGCATATGGAACATCCCAAAGGAGATGTCCAGAAGGCAGCTGGAGCTCGAGTCAGGAGCAGAGCTCTGGAGAGAAACCGAGGCTGGATGGGTACATTGGAGCTGTCTGCACAGAGGATACAATAGTTGGATCCGGAGAGTTACCGGAGGAAAGAGCAGAGAGGAGAGGAGAAGGCTTGTCAAGAGACATTCATTCATAGGGAACTGTGGCCCCGGTGGAAATAATGAGAACATTGAGAAGGGACCACTTCCTCCTAGAGTTTGTGATAGAGGAAAGGAGAGCAGGGTATAGTGTGACATGCATCCCAGATTCAGGGAAAACAGATTTCAGAGGGTTCTGAGGAAGAATGGGTAGAATCTCAGGTTCTGAAATTCTGCAAGGGAATTCAGCCCAGGAAACACAGGAAGCCCTCAAGGGGGGGGGGGAGAGAAAGAGAGAGAGAGAGAGAGAGAGAGAGAGAGAGAGAGAGAGAGAGAGAGAGAGAGAGAGAGAGAGAGAGAGAGAGAGAGAGAGAGAGAGAAACAGAGGAAGAGAGAGAGAGAGAGAGAGAGAGAGAGAGAGAGAGAGAGAGAGAGAGAGAGAGAGAGAGAAAAGACAGACAGACACAGAGACAGAGAAGCAGTTGCAACAAGGCATAAAAATGAGAGTAACTCATCCAATGACTGAAAGTTTGAGAAATGAACAAAAGATGAAAGCAAGACCCTGTGACTAAGGATAACTCGAGAGAGGAGCGTGGCAGGTAAAAGGGAAGGCAGGAGTGCCAAAGATGAGGGTGAGCAAGGCTGCCTAGGGAAATGCAGGACAACGAAAAGGGTTTTTTTCCCTTGGCTACCCCAGAGAAAAGGAGAGGCCCATGGAAGTTTCTGACAGCTTGGTGTGGATGAGAAATGACATGAAAGAGGTGGAGGACAAGGGGCTGCTCAAAGCTGATTGTGCTTTTGATTTTTCTGCTGTGGACAGGAAAGAACAAAATAAAAACGGCTAACAGGACGTTAGCTGGAGCTGAAGCAGTATTAAGTAAAGCGATGGGAAGAGAGCATGTAGTGGCCTTGTGGGCACACACTCTCAGGGCTCAGATTGTTGAAGCTAGAAAAACAAGAGGAAAAAGGTGTGTAGACTCAAAGACTAACCGAGTGTGAGCCTCTGAAAATAGACTCAAAGGAGGCTACAGACCTGAGTTCATTGGTTAACTCAAGACAACAAAAAGCAGGTTTAACTCTGTTAGAATGAGAGAGAAAAGCAAGAAAGGGCTGACCTATTGCTGGGGCTCAATTAATGCAATGCTAACAGATTAGGTGGAAAATGGAACCACTCAATGCCTACTTTGTTTCCTCGTTTCCCTTAAGAAAAAACGTTTTTCAAACTGGAAAGAGCAGAACAAACTCTTTAGTTCAGACATTAAGAAATACAGATCCAAGGTGCTAGGACCATAGTGAGAGTCTCTGGCTGCTCTCAGAGGTCAGTGCTCAGGGTCCAGATGAATTATGTGCTAGGGGGTGGAAATAATGTACAAATGTAATTGCTGAACCACTGGTAAGTTTTTGAGCAACGATGGAGAACAAGACAGACTCCTTAAAACTGTTCTGATTTTCAAAGGTAGGGTAAAAGTAGTTCTAGAAACCACATACTCATAACCTAGACGTTAATCCTACGCAAAGTTTTAGACTAGATGTTTGTGAGCACTTAAGAAAGGAAGCAATAAGCACCAGAAGCTAATACTGGTTCATTAGGAACAAATTATGTCCAGCTAAGCTCACTTATGTTTGTTACAAGATTGAAAGATTAAAGAGAATTCGATAGACGTAACATAACTGGAT